TTTGAAGAGGAATTCGGTTGGTTACGAGCCTAAAAAGTCTAAGGTTTTGTCCATAAAAGAGATCGGTGATTTTTGGCCACGGCTAGTGATGAAACTTATTTACTTACTAAGGTAAGTTTGCGATAATGATTTTTAAAATATATAGATGGTTTCTTATTCCATTGTATTTGATTTTAGGTAGCTCTTGTCATTGGCCTTTGTGGAGCATGTAGAAGAGAAGAATTGTACTCTCTACGAGTGCAAGACATCATAGAAAAAGACAACAGCTGCCTTTTAGTTACCCTTGCGGATACAAAAACTAATATCAAAAGAGTGTTTCCGGTGGTGAACGAAGGGAACGTTGTCAATCCAGTTGAGTTGTATAGAAAATATGCTTGTCTTAGGCCAAAAAATGTACCACATGATTATGTCTTCATCTCTTATCGTAAAGGAAAATGCACCGTGCAACGAGTCGGCATTCATTCATTTGGGAAGATGCCATCGATTGTAGCAGCATTTTTAAAGTTGTCGAACCCAAACGAATATACAGGTCATTGTTTCCGACGTAGTTCTGCTACTCTTGCTGCAGATGCAGATGTGGATTTTACATCGCTGAAACGCCTAGGAGGTTGGAGGTAAAAATTTTAATATTTTCCGATCTTGTTCTAAACAACAATAATTATTTAGGTCGTCCACAGTGGCCGAAGGTTACATAGAAGAATCTATTGAGAAAAAGAAGAAAGTTTGCAAACTGCTAATGGGGGAAAAGAAAATCGCGACCACTTCCACGGATGTATTACCAAGTACATCATCGTTCGCATTTACTCCACCTCATCAGAAAGTAAATTTACCTGCCAATGGAGGAGTCGTTTCGATTGCAGATGCAAGTTTTCAAAATGCACAAAATTGTTCATTTCATTTTTATTTTTCCAAATAACTTAGCTTTTGATATTGTTAGTATTTAATAATTTAAAAATCAAATACAATGGAATAAGAAACCATCTATATATTTTAAAAATCATTATCGCAAACTTACCTTAGTAAGTAAATAAGTTTCATCACTAGCCGTGGCCAAAAAATCACCGATCTCTTTTATGGACAAAACCTTAGACTTTTTAGGCTCGTAACCAACCGAATTCCTCTTCAAAAAAGCAATAAGTTTTGGAAATTTGTCAATATAATATCTTCTTTAACACTTAACACTGCTCTCAGCATGGAATATTTCGACCAAATTGACGATGGTTTGAATGTTTGTGACTGTAATTTAAGAATATTTTAATTTAAAAAGCCTCTTTTAAATAGGTACCTAGGTACTTACTTTAAACAAATAACTTAGCTTTTGATATTGTTAGTATTTAATAATTTAATTATAAATATATGTATAATTTTATGTGATTTTGTGACAAATTTCGAATGACAAAATAAAACAACCAAATAACGAATTTAGACATTTTAGTCCATAAAGGTTGCCATGACGACCTTTACGGCCTAGGCCGAAAAAGAAACATTTTACGGACTGAAATGAGTCCGTAAAATAGCTGTTTTTGGGAGCGTATGACAAAAAAAAAATAAAAACAAAAATATTTAAACAGTTTTTTAATTTTTTTTATGAAATAAGCGAGCTATATCGACAATATTAGTATCTGTACTCTTGGAAAATTTGTTACATCTTTAAAAATAATCTAAAATGTCAATATTCCATGGGTATAGTGATAAATGAGGTCTAAATTATAAGAAAATGCATTTTCTTTAAACATCTACGTATAGAAAAATCAAGATAATACATTCGGACTGGACGCGAATATAATTATACGATCAAACGAACTTACCTGAAGTGAAGTTCGATCGTAATTATATGAGGCGTCCAGTCCGAATGTATTATCTTCCCACCCCTCCCGTTTTGCCCCATGGTCGCTTGAATTAATGACTAAATCTTTGAAAAATGAATACCGACCGCCGCGCCAGGGCCGGCGTGGCCACCTAGACTGGTAGCGGGAGGGAATTTAGCTTATAGCTTTAAAATTGTGCACGCAGGGACGGTACTACTTATAGAATAATCAAGATAATACATTCGGACTGGACGCCTCATATAATTACGATCGAACTTCACTTCAGGTAAGTTCGTTTGATCGTATAATTTTTACTGCAATTTCATAAAATTGAAAATATTTCAAAAACGGTAAGGTTGAAGTATGATGAACCTTAATCAAATTTACCTTTATTTTAATGGTAGAATCTAAAAATAGAATAATATACAGGGAGTTCCATTTAAAAAAATACAACTATAATATTTTTTACTTAGTTGGGACACTCTGTATCTTGTAAAAATATTTTTAAATTCTAGCTCTAATAATCCTTCAACGAACCCAAAACTTACAATTTGTAAAAATCTAATCGTTTAGCTACAATACTCCGTGTCGTATGTGGTGAACAACCCTGTATATTACCTCAGTATTCATGTACGATGGTGAAACTAATTTCACATCTAAAATCAAATTTTTAAATTTTGGTTAAGATTGGTACATATTCGAAGATTTTCTAGAAGATTTTTGTTAATAACTAAGTAAATATTATTAATACTTAAATTTTGACTATCTGGGTACGATATTTTCATATTTTACACATTTTTTTTAAAAAATTCTACTTTTACCTCACCTTATGTACACAAAAATAGTCAAAGTTGATACTCCAGTCTTCACTAAATATTCTTTATGATTATTCCACATAAGAACCAGGATGGTACACTCAAATTTTATAGTTCTTTTACGATATTATTATCGCGACCATTATGAAACACTTGAAAGCCGGTAGGTCTGTTTGAGCAATTTTATGGCTTGGTTTTGTTTGGTTATATAATGACTTATATATAAGTCATTATTAGGCAGATAATCTGTTAATTTTACTAGGAACCTTCTATTTTACATGGCTGTTTAAACGTAATAGAATTTACGGTGTTATGTTTAGTTTTATGACCGTTTTGTTGAATTTGATGCTAATAAAACTTGACTTTTATGTCTTGTTTATGCCTTTGACGCGTATTTTATAGACTCTTCGATCCCCTCGATCATTTTATTACATTCTTCTTTTATCTAATGACTATAACGGTATAAATAATATAAATAATATCATGAATATAGCTGGCTCAGACTGTATCAAATGAAAATTTACCTTTGGTATTTTTCAAATTAAATTATGTACATTCTAAGTAGCCTATCTCCAGAAATAGGTTCAATTTAATTATGGCTTTAGAGTGGGATTGAGATGACATCTAAAATTAGATCTCTCGACGCTGAATGCAACATATGTATCTAAAGAGGGTGTAAAATTAACTTAGACAGTAAAGCATGGATGCAACTTTTCATAGTTTGAAAATTTTAAATGTATAATTCAGTCAAACCTTTTTAAATTAACTATTTATCTATAATTCTTGTTTTTTTTTATGTTTTTGGTTTTGGTTATGGTCCATTAAATGCTGCATGAATCCATTTATCAAAATGTAGTACTCAAAATAAATTAGTTCTAATAATTAATTGGTATAATTATGAAGTATTAGTCTAAATTAAAATCGAAATATTTTTTCGATACAGACTACCATTATGCAGGGTGTATTATATTATAAAATACAGTTTTATGTTTATTTTATTTTTTTCTTAACGTAGCTATTCGTGTTATAAAATGTTGAAAAGAGAAAAACTTTTGTAAAGACCTTTTTTATATTTAGTAAAATTTGATTTTTAAAATTTATATTATATTTTTTGGTTAGTTTTGTTGATTATTAGAAAATGTGTCTCATATCATATGAAATTAAGAAAAAAAAAATAATGTTTTATTTTTTTAGATGTTACAATACAAACTTTTTAAAATGCATATTTTTTAAGCGATTTTAGAGTATGTTTGTATCACAATATGTTTGATTTAGGTGTAGGATCTACTTTAAAGTTAGATAATTATGCTTGGACCTTGATAAAAATATCTCTTTATAAAGAAAAGTAATACAAGTTTAATAATGCAAAGAAAAAAAAAAGAATTGAAAACATACCTAAATTTTTTTTTCTTTATAAAATTTTTCTATTATATTTTTGTTTTAACCAATTACAGGCTCAAATATATTTTGTATTATCTCTATAATACATATTATAAACAAACAACTATTTATTTAAAAAAAAACGCATTGCATAAAATCAAACTCCTTATATTTATCCTAGTAAAAAACTCCATCCAGTTAAATCAAACCTCGAAATCACGACCACTAAACCCGACAGCAAACAGAAAAAGAAACGGCATCCTCAAGTATTAATTTCGCAGTGGAAAACGCTCCTTTTACGACCTCAATTGGTGGCCAAAGTACACTCTGACGATCATCGTGGCTCGGTCCTTCGAGCCGGTCTGCCGCCACACATAGTTACACTAGTAGCTCGTTCAGTAGAGAGAGGGCGCGACCTACCCCGCTCCGACGTGCCCGACGAAGACAGACGAACCACGCCGGAAAAAGAAAGGAAATAGGCCAGATCGTGCGAGGGAAAGAGAGAGAACGGTCCTTTGCGCAACGTTCCTTGTGGGCGCCGCTAGCATCGTGACGAATGTCGACGCTATTGGTCCTTTTATGTGAGATCCCTTCCATTGTATTGCTTGTTGCTGTCTCACTCTATCGCTGTGTTTATTGTATTAGATATATTGTTGTTGTTATATTTGAACAATATTAGTTGTTGTTTAGGATAATTGATTTTTTCTGGAGGGTTTTTGGAAAAAAAAATTGCAAAAAGGGGTGAAGGTGAAGATAATTAGGTGTGAAAAAGTAATAAAGAAAAACAGGTAGTAGATGTAAAAGAGCTGGTGCTTTAAGGGTGCTATGGTTTGATTACTGCCGCGTGCTGCCAGCTAGGAGCAGAGGGGGTTTGAAGTGGCGGCATTTCGCGCGCGGGGGGCGGAGGAAACCGGAGGGGGAGGGGAGTAGCAAGCGCCGCGCGATGGGCCGGCAGCGTGTGGGCTGGAGTCTGCCCCGTGCCTGCTCACAGTGGGTTCCGATCCGCGGCCTCATAAGCAGCCACTATAACGCCAGGCATTCCCGATCTGACAACCGCGCGTCTCGCATCGTGTCCCCTCCGATCGACGTCATTACTATTATTATTATTATCGTCGCGAATTAATCTCAAAAAGATTTTTATTTCACCGACAATAAAAATGTTTTCCGCGAGTTTGGTAAATAGTTCGAGCTTCTGAAAGTGTTTTTATATTATTTACAGTGACTCTGAGTTGATTAGTTTTCTTTTTGTGGACAGCCGAGCATCCCTCTGTTAGAGGGATCGGACATCAGCCGCCAAAATTAACGCCGCAATCATGAACTCGTACTTCGAACAGAGTGGCTTCTACGGGAGTCACCATCACCAAGCGGCTGGCGCGGTGACTGGAGCACATCACCACGACCCAGCAGCGGCCGCGGCAGCTTACCGTTCCTTCCCTCTGAGTCTCGGTATGTCACCCTATGCCTCCAGTCAACACCACCACGCAGCACATTCCCTACACCAAGCCAGACCACCTCAAGACTCACCCTACGATGCCTCAGTAGCTGCAACAGCCTGTAAACTATACTCCTCCGAGGCACAGAACACCTACGGAAACTCAGGAACAAAATCAGATTGTTCTAAAGGAAACGCAGATCAGAACGGATACGCTTCAGTAGTAACAGCGGAAGCTGTAAAAAACTGGCAAAACGCAGCTTCGGCAGGAAGTGGAAACTTAGCAAACAGTCTGGCAGGTCCAGTAAGACCGTCGGCGTGCACGCCGGATTCGAGGGTAGGGTATGGGTCTTCAGGTTTAATTGGTGGTGATCCGTCTACAAGTCCTGGAACGGCTTCGGCAGGAAGAACATCTAATTCCTTGTCGTCGTGGAATAATCCCTGTTCGCTGAACACGACCTCTTCGCAGCCGGTCGGGACTCAGATTCACCAGCAGACTCAGCATACGTTCTATCCCTGGATGGCTATAGCAGGTGAGTCTATAAACTCTAAGAATTACAAGTAACGTTTTTCTGTGTATTTGGTTCAAAGATATTTTAAAAATGAAGACAGCAGAACAAATCGCTTACCTGGAAATCATCTTATATTTGCATATATGCGGCAGGTACATATTTACAATAAAAACAGTAAGATCATCATATTTTATAGCAAGTAAGACAATTCTTACTGTGGTATTCAATGCAATGTTAACGGAAATACAAAAATAAGCGTTCTATAGGTAGAATAAATGTTATTGCTTTTATTCTATAAGAAAAAATTATATTATCTTCTGCAAAAATAAATTTTATGTACCTTGAATCGTAGGAGAAAAAATTTTTGAAGCTTTGCCATAAAAATTGGATAATTAAAAAATAGATATATATTTTTTAATTAAAGATTATACCAAAACTATATTGATAATAAAAAAATTCATTATTTTTTGTCCCAATTAAATTTTTCTCCACAACTAATTTATTTCTCTTAATTTTTAACGATACTGCAATTTTATTATTTAATATAATGTTGAGAAATAATTGTAATTTCTTTACCAGGTAATTCTATGTCTTAATGAGTACATAGTAATAATTTAATAATAATGACGATTAAATTGAAAAATATATTTTGTTAAATTTAAATTGAATATAATGAAAATAATAATTTAATATAAATATCTGTAAATTTACTTAAATTATAACTACAAAACTGAACAAAAATGTATTACATATTATAATATTGTATAAAGATGCACATAATTTAATTCTTGTAATTACTTGTAACAAACAAGAGTTAAAGTAACAGCTGAAATTAAAAAAACATTATGTTTAAATGAAAGAATCAAGAAATTATGCAAATTAAATAACTACAAAATAGAAAAATTAATGCTCATTTGATTTTAATTGTTCAGAAATAAAAACAATTTAAAATTTTAAAAGAGTAAAAGTAAAAATTAAAATAAAAAATCATAAGTAAATAAAAAAAATAAAGTAAATTTACTAATTCATAAGTTGAGTAAAAGAAACAACATAAGTAATAATTTAAAATTAAAATTACCTAACAAAATCTTAAAATAATACCGACAAATGAAAGGAAAGAAAATAAAAAGATTAAAGCCTTATAAAATTCCAACAATATAATTTCAAAAAGTTTTAACGAGAAAAAGCTCTATAAACCATCAAACTAGGTATCATTTAAAAACAAAAACAAATAATACAATTATTAATTTAAAGAAACAATGCTAAAAAATGTAAAAGATATCAAATCAAATTTAATAAGTATGAGTCAAATTAATAAAGTGACAATAATATTAATTGAAATAAAACTAAACCAAAAGTAATAAAATTAGATTTAAAAAAATAATAATTAGAGTTTTAATTCTAAAATAAAAACAGAAACCATGTCCCATTAAATTTGTAACCTTATCAAGAGCACTTATTGTTTTAAGTAGGTAACATTAACAAATAATAATTTAAAAATTCACAATAATAATGCCAAACAATAAAATAAAACTCTTCTAAAGGAATGAAGGAAAAATACAGTACCCATATTAAGCGAGTCAATCAAAAACCGATTAGGTCCCTAAAGGAGTCAAGTGCGTGTATAATCGGGGTTGAACGAACGTATTCCCTATCTCTCTCTTCTTTTCACCGTTCCAAATCAATCTGTCGCTCTCTGTTGCATTTTCGCATGGCCCCGTGTTCGTCCCGAAGTCCAACGAGGCCGATCAGCTGTTTATGTACCCTATTTCGGGTCTGAATTAATACGCTCTAATAATATGGGGCAACGGACGGTATTAGGGATGGGTCGTTCCATGGGAGTCTGTAGAAGAATTCTACCTGACCAATGAAATCGGAAGTATTTTGATAGATGAATTTAGGTTAAAAGACTTTGTTATTACCAGGGTGCAATGATTTAAATCAATGGATTTTATTACTTTTTCCATAGCAACTGTTAAACTTGCTTTATATCTATCAAAAATAGTAGATAAAATAGTACTTTATACGCAAGGGTAGATTAAATGATACTTTAACAGCGAGGATATGTTAAAAACTTTATTTCTTCTCGCACGTTTTTTAATTGCTTTCATTTTTGAAAATTTTTCTATTCCTTTTCATACCCTCAACTGTAATCCTTTTCATAAGTTATTCGGGATTTAAATGAAAGCAGTTTGGATATGGCGTTTGTCGCCTCAGCCTGAATATCTGTTGGTAATTTACTTATTTCGTTTTGAGCCATTTCTGGCTCCAATTCAATCAGCAATCGACACGAAAGAGAATTAAAAAATATTGACGCAGAACTGACAACTAAAGAGACAGCTTTATTTATTTGTCAAATTACGTAGAAACCAACGCCAACCCGGCACAATATTTTTTCTACTTGTAATAAATTCCTTGAAATAATAATTTCTGAATATTTTTTAAAAAGTAACTCGCTATGGAAAAAAATATTGTTTTATACACGACGTTAAATTACATTGCCTTCCTTAATTTATCTTCTAGTTCGTTCCAAATTTCTACCGACATTTCGTTCTGCAATAAGTAGGTACTTTGAACGTTAGATGGTACTAATTTTATTCTCGACATAAGACAGTCATGGCTATTTCCAAAAGAAATCCCCGGGCGATATTTTTTGCGAAAATAAGGGCATCGGCAAAGTTTACAGAACAAAATATATTGGTGACCGATGTGAAAAAAAGACAACGTGCCATAAAAATGTTAATATTGTCGATATCGGGCAGACTTACGAAGATCTAGCCATTTAGGAAAAGGACTTTAAATAAAAAAAAAATGATTTAAACCAAAAAAAATCTGATTAAAATAAAAAAAATCGATTTTTTTAAATCTTGATTTTCTTGTACAGGGTGGGTCAAATTCGATGCTTTTAAATGGAAACACCCTTTTCTATAGGAGATAGACAAAAACTAATATCGGTGTCTGGAGCTCAATTTTTGTCAAAAACATGATGGTGAAAACCGCATATAGATATCTGTTACCGTTTCGGAGTTACGGGGTGTTTTTTAAAAATATGCATTTTTAACAAATCGCTGTAACTTTTTTGCTATGGAAAATTTTGTATTTTTATGAAAACATTTTCAAAGCACCTTTTTACGTAGAATTTAATGGTTTTATTATAATTTTTTTAAAATTAATAATTTACGAATTATAAACAGAAAATTTTATTTTTTATATGGGACACCCTGTATATTTTTAATTTGTTGAAAATAATTTAAAATTAGCTTTCCAAAAATATAACACACTTGATATTTTGCTCGATTCCTCTTCGAGATATAGAGTATATAAAAATTCGCCTGCTTTAAATTAGTATAGGCTTTGAACGGCACCGGCTGTAATGCAAAAAAAAAATTCTGTGAGCACGAAAATAATATTTGCAATGAGAGATGCAGAATTTTATATCAATTTAAAATATGTTTAACCAACATCAACACACTTAAACTAATAACAATAAAAATAAATAGCAAACCAAGACATGAGATTTTACTAGGTGTTCGACATATCGACCGTCTTCTGTTATGGACAGACGGGGCCGTTTTTGAACATTTCTCGCGGAATTCATTAATTCAGAATGGGTGAAAGATACCCCCTCATCCCTCATAACAGCTAAGTATTTCTAATTTATGTTTAGATTATACGGAGGAATAAGGAACATTTATTCTTCCGCAAATATATCCATAGGATTAGCTCCATGGGCACTAAGTCAGGCGGCCTCGACGGCCAACGGCTGGGATCTTGGTTAGCTATTCAATTATTCTTGGCTGCAAAAATTTGCTGATAACTTCAGGGTTCTGAGGCGGTGCGTCGCGTCGTCTTGCTGGAAAAATATATTTTCGTGCTGGAAAAATATATCATCAATAAGGGATCCAAAGCCTGCTAGTTAAAAGTGGCGAACTTTTAAAAATTCTGTATTTCGAAGGGGATTATAACAAAATATCAAGTGTGTTATATTTTTGGAAAGGTAATTTTAAATTCTTTTCAGTTAATTAAAAATAGAGAGGGTGTCCCAAATAAAAAATAAATTTTTCTGTTGATAACTCTTAAATTATTAATTGTAAAAAAATTATACTTAAACCATTAAATTCTACGTAAAAATGTGCTTTGGAAATGTTTTCATAGAAATACAAAATTTTGCATAGCAAAAAAATTACAGCGATTTGTTAAAAATGCACATTTTTAAAAAACACCCCGTAACTCCGAAACAGTAGCAGATATTGATGTGCGGTTTTCACCATCATGTTTTTGATGAAAATTGGGCTCCAGACACCGATATTAGTTTTCGTCTATCTCCTATAGAAAAGGGTGTTTCCATTTAAAAGCGTCGAATTTGACCCACCCTGTACACTGGTAATTATGAAAATTATAGGAATACGTAATTTGACACAATATGAGGCGTCAAGTTGCAAAACCTGTTTTATACCAAAAACGTTGTTTCGAGATAATATGCAAAACCTATTTTAACAAAAGTTTGAAGCGTTATTTTACAAGAAAAAACGTGTCTATTGAGTAGATTCATTGTTTTGTATCTTATTTTTCTAGAATTAAAAATTAATATTTAGTTTTTAAAGGGAAAAGACACAAAAATAATTTGGATAAGATAGGCTTAGTTGCAGTATGATGCATATTGCGGGTTTTTCCAGATATTTGCATCCTAACTTGATTTATTAGAAATGCTATTTTATTAAAATTAGGTAAGAATTTGAAATGGATAAGACCTCAGCAGTAATATTATGATGACAATAAAAAGCAAATAATATAAGTGGATAAGACGGATTTTGCTACACTAACTTAATTTTTAGTGAATCTTATGTAAGAATAGACGACTTTTGTGCAGTTTGGGACTATGTTTATGTAGATTTCAGGGTCCACTATATATCAATATGTCATGTAAACCTGGAAATACATTTGTAAAATTGCTGCAGCTGGATTTTTCATTTTGTTCTTTGTTAAGCGCCTTTGTTTTCGGTACTTTAACGTTCTGGATG